TAAATAGTAGATTATAATCGAATTGGGAAACAATCGAGAAGAATTTCGACAAAATTTAACTTTTTTAGAAAATTGAAATCGAAGTTTTTGGAAAAAAAGTTCAAAAAAGTTTATCAAAACTTCCTAAAGTACTCCAAAAATAACTTATTGGAACGCTAATGATTGAATGCGAAATAGTATATACAATCGAGTTAACATAATCGAGAAGAATTTTTGAGAATTTCAACAAAATTTTTATAAAATTGAAATCGAAAATGAGTGGTTTTTCCAAAAAAAAATTTTTTTTTAAATTCACAAGTTTATCAAAAAAAATTTCGTCAAAGTTTCACTCTTATCGAAGTTAAAAATGGGCGATTATTTAAATAAAGCCAAAAAATTTGCCTTTTTATTAAAACTCCCTAAAGCACTCTAAAAATCATTAGTATTACATAGGAGTGCTAATGATTGAATACGAATAATTAAATAGTATATTACAATYGAGTTGGGAAATAATCTAGAAGAATTCTTTTAGAATTTCGACAAAACTTCACCTTTTTAGCAAATTGAAATCGAACTTAAAAATGAGCGATTTTTCCAAAAAAAAGTTCAAAAAATCCACAAGTCTATCAAAACTTTCTAAAATACTTCAAAAATAACTTATTGGAGAGCTGATTATTGAATACGAAAAGTTAAATGGTATATTATAATTGAGTTGGGAAATAATCGAGAAGAATTCTGAGAAATTCGTCAAAATTTCACACATTTTTATCAAAGTTAAAAATGGTCGATTTTTCCAAAGAAGTTTCTAAAAAATTTGTCAGTTTATTAAAACTGTAAAACACTAAAAATTWAATAGTATATTACAATCGCCTTAGAAAATAATCGAGAACTCCTTTAAAATTTCAACAAAATTTCACTTTCTTTGTAAATTGAAATCGAAGTTAAAAATGAGCGATTTTTCCAAAAAAAATCTACAAGTTTATCAAAACTTCCTAAAATAACTTATAATGTGTTGGAGAGCTAATGATTGAATTAGAATAGTTAAATAGTACATATTAAGTTCGAGATTTGATAGTTTATTTATTCATAATTACGTTTTTGTTTAAGTAATGAAATATTAGTTTTTGTATCGAAGTTGTTTCTATACAAATAAATGAGTTTTTGACATTTAATTGTCTCGCAACCTTGGTAATCCTTCATAAATTAATTCCCGACCATGGGATGTAATGACAAATTTCGCGACCTTTAAAAGCTAGGAATCGCTAGTGATTGTGAATAATAAAAAACAGTGGTAAATATCTAGTCAAAAAAGTAAAAATGCACGAATGTAACAATAAAAACATTAAAATTTATTGCACTTGTGTTATTACGCTTTAACTTTTACGATTATTGACGGTGATGTTATCAACTTGGTTATCATTGTCGTTGCATTTGTTTTGTTGCTTTTAACTATAATCGTTTTTATTTTAATTTGGTTTGCTCCGGATTTGAACCTCAATGTCTTGCCTGGTGCTTAATTACACTATTTTGCTCAATTTTATTATTATTTTTGGGGGAAAAAAATTGAAAAAAAGTTGGCGCAACCCGGGCTCGAACGTGCGATTTTTCTATAATTTTTTCAAATTTTGGGCTAAATTAAATGGTTAAAATGATTTTTCCACTTTTCCAGCTTCAATTTTTGTGTGAATTGTTATTAAAGTCAATAAAACTATGCATTTTCTTTGAAATACCGCCGTTTTGCCGTTGCGTAAAATTCCATCATCTTGCAATTTTATCATACTTTCAACCGGAAATGCCGAGCAAACCGGAATCGCGGTTATAACAATCCGTATTATCCCTAGGCACTTGTCCAAATAACTCACTCAACAATTTTTTTCTTCTTCTGTTTCAGGTGAGTTCCTCCAACAATGCGTGGAAAGTGCAAAACGTCGTGTCTTAAGTGCTTCTGAGTGGTGTATGAATGTTGTGATCTAACCTTTTAATGGAGTAAAAGTAGAACTTGTAATTGCATCGCTGTTCTAGACGTGGCTTTACTCGAGGTAAGTTGATTTTGATTCGACTATTATCTAACCGGAAACGCACATTGTGACATTTTCATGAACTTTTCTCCTTCCGGAAAAAAAGAAAACAAAAAAAAAACATTGCTGTAATAATAGCCTGGCATCAGTGTTGTCAGGTTTGGTGAAATTTTACCACATCTGGGGAATTTAATGCCACAATTCTAATATACATACTTTGGTGCTTTTTTGGAAACAAAAAACTTGATTGTTTCGCTAAATTTTTTCAAAAAAAAATGGAAACTCTACCAAATTGGTTAAAATACCAGATTTTACTAAACAGTCGAAAATGACAATTTCCTTTTCTCTTTTTCGAATGCGAATGTATATTTTTCAGCTAGAAACACAATTATTTTGCATATTTTTGTTAGAAAAAGCCAAAAAAATAAGAAAATGGACTGAAAATGATGTTATTTTTGCCT